AAAAAGGGGGAATAAAGGGGTTGAAGGGGAAAGTTCACTACCATCCGTTGGCACTCCAGTCTTTTTTTGTTCAAACAAAAAAATAATAATAATAATAATAAATAACAAATCCGGACTGTAGGTTATTGCGCAAAAAAAAAAAAAACTTACATGTACGCAACACTAGACCAAAGGTGGTCCATCAATAATAACATAGGGGATATTCCACCGCAAGTAAGTACTGTTGTCGTGCCAACGCCAACATCATTAGAGAAAACTCCACGTAGCTGAGGGTCTCCGGTGGCTTCGAGGCACTGTCAGGGGCTTGTCCGATGGTGGCCCTGTAGTCCTCTGCTTTGGCGCGGTATGGGCGTCTTTGAAAGCTCTTTACAAAATTCCACACTACGGTTTCGTTACATGGAACACCGCAGCTATCCAACGCACAAATGGGGTGGTCATGTGGCCAGAGTAGACGGGTTTCCCTGCAAAGGGTGCTGCAACCATTATAACTCTGCTTAGTTCTTAATATTATTTGTTTTTTATTTGCAGTGAACTGAGTGTGAAGAGGAGGGAGAGACCAGGTCAACAATTCAGGGAACCGCGGCAACTTTCCCAAATCGCCCCGCAGCAACATGGAAAGGATGTGAGAAATTAGGAATTTAATTTTAAAAAGTCAGCCATAAAACTCCAGATAAAAAAGCAATAGCAACCGTAACTGCAAAAAGGGGAAGAGGAGAGAGAGGGGAATAAAGAAACTATGCTTGAATAAAACAGAAGGGCAGAAGCAAGCTCTCAACATCCTTCACTGTAGTTAGCTGTGGGCACATCTTCGGAAACAGATGAGGAGTAACACTCGGAGTAATAAATAGCCGGAAAGTGCATCCAGAGAGTTCCCGTCAGGTGCCACCAACAAAAGAAACAAGGAGGAAGAGCTAGTCAGAAAAACGGTGAGAGAAAGAGAGAGGGAAAAAGTAGTTGCAATGGGAAAGAGAAGGGCAAAAGAGGGTTCAGTTTCTCGATACGTTTGCACTGAGAGTGCTTGTGTCACTCATTTATGTGGTAGGACAAAAACAGAATAATGTCATCATATGTAGAGGAGGCTGTCATTGCAGGGGCACACACCAGGAGTCTCGCAGGCTTCTACAGCACGATGCAGATGGAAAAAACAGCGAACTCCCACATAGTACAGACGTTGCCTGCTCCGGAACGATGGCGCATCGCCTCTTCATGTGCCACTTGGAAGTTTGCTTCTAAAATACGATTGTTCCGCGATGAACGGAAGCGGATATGGAGCAATAGCGAGGATAGCACTAAAGAGAAAGGAGGAGCAAAAGGAGACGTGTGCAAAAAGAGAATGAACAAAGGAAAAAAAGGGGGAATAAAGGGGTTGAAGGGGAAAGTTCACTACCATCCGTTGGCACTCCAGTCTTTTTTTGTTCAAACAAAAAAATAATAATAATAATAATAAATAACAAATCCGGACTGTAGGTTATTGCGCAAAAAAAAAAAAAACTTACATGTACGCAACACTAGACCAAAGGTGGTCCATCAATAATAACATAGGGGATATTCCACCGCAAGTAAGTACTGATTGTCGTGCCAACGCCAACATCATTAGAGAAAACTCCACGTAGCTGAGGGTCTCCGGTGGCTTCGAGGCACTGTCAGGGGCTTGTCCGATGGTGGCCCTGTAGTCCTCTGCTTTGGCGCGGTATGGGCGTCTTTGAAAGCTCTTTACAAAATTCCACACTACGGTTTCGTTACATGGAACACCGCAGCTATCCAACGCACAAATGGGGTGGTCATGTGGCCAGAGTAGACGGGTTTCCC